CCAGGACAGAGGGGCTTGGTCAGGACATGTGGGTGCTGGCTGGGGAGCGGCTGGGGCCCGAGTGGAGGGGAAGGGCGGTGCTGAGGTGCTCAGGCCCTGCCTCAGGCTGGTGCCTCTGTGGCCTGTGGGTGCACGAGGCAGTGATGGTGGAGAACGGGGAAGGCGGATACTTGCCAGCCCCTCCACGCTCCGAATGTCGCCGCCCTGGGCTGTGCAGAGAGCAGACGTGCCCTGTGTGCTGGAGAAGGAGGGGGGCTGGGAGGGGAGGGGGGGAGAGGGGGCAGCACTGGTGGAGACAGAACTGGGGAGAGTCCCCTCCTAGACGCCAACAGAGGGGAGGCCCCCGGAGGGCCAGGTAAGGCGAGAGCCAGGGCGGCACTGGGCAGGGCTCCAGGAGCGTCGTGTCTTAGCAGGTAAATTATGTCCAGAAGGAGGCGAGAGCTCGAAACCCAACCTCAGGAGAGAGAGGGCCCCTGACCTTCTGGGCCCCCCACAGGTTCATTCTGGGGAGTGTTCACAGACCAGCAACAGCAGGAAACTGTGTTTTCTAAATAAACAGGAAAGGGAGCTGAAGCTTAATCTGTAACAAGACACTTCTTGTATTTATCTGGCTACGTTTTTGTTTATTTTTAAGTCTTCCAAGTATTCCCAAAATGTATGTTTATTTTGCTGAAGAGTCAACTATACACGCTATTATTTTAGTTAAAACATCAGATATGGTTCTGAATAATAGAGCAGAAATATCTCCCACTCACTTTTTTTTTAAATATGTTTTTATTGGTTTTTCAGAGAGAGGAAGGGAAAGAGAGAGAAAAACATCGGTGTGAGAGAGAAACATTGATCAGCTGCCTCCCGCACGCCCCCTACTGGGGATCGAGCCCTCAACCCGGCATGTGCCCTGGTTGGAAAAAACTGGGACCTCAGTCCGAGGGACGGCGCTCAGTCCCCTGAGCCAACCGGCCGGGCCCTCCCACTCGCTTGTAACCAGAAGGAAGAGAGGCCCCCTCCGCTGCTGATTTTACAGCTGCTTAGATTAGTCTGTGCGCTTCAAAAGGTGCTCCAGGTGTTCTGCTGATGGGATGAGACAGCCAGTTGCTGTTGCGCGTACAGGCACACGCACACGCACACGCACACGCACGCACAGCTGGTGGAAGTAACAGCCGTGTGTGTCTGGTCCGTGAGGACCGTGTTGGGATGGTAGCAGAGCAATAAAAGTGTGCAAGGAAGTTTGTACTCCCAGTTTGGTTTCTGTCTCAGAGACCACTGAGATGCAGTAGGTATTTCTTTTCCTGGCAGGTGGAATCGGACTTGGTGTATGTTTTACTGAACCTAAGATCCCACTGGTTGTAAGCTGCACCCTTAGTCTGTGTAGAACGATGTAGAAGACAGGAGATCAACTCTGCCCGTTAAATGACACGGCCATTTGATTGCAGGAGGCATTTCGTTTCAAAGATATTAGAATGTGAAGAAATACACATTTTAGAGTTAATTATAGGTCATTATTACTTACGAGGACGTTAGAGTACTTTGGTTTATTTGCACATCAGTTTAGGAACAGTGAAAACGTCTACTGAATACTGTGTAAATTGCAAATTTAGTCTTAATTAAATACGGGTCTATAAAAAGATTAAATAATAGTAGTCGTTAAATTTTAAAACTAGGAAGGTCCTTAGAGCTGCTACAGATGTTAATAAATATATGCTTCCGTGCCTGCTGCAAGCCGACGCTGTTAGACCTGGGTCCGTAGTGATGCCCGAGCCCCTGCACCTGCTCCGGGCCGACGGTGGGGGCTGGAGGGCGCATAGAGGGGGCGTGGCGTCTGGAGCTGGGGGTTCCCGGCTGGGGCTGGGGCTGGGGAGCAGAGAAGCTGGGGTGCAGGACATCAGCCGGGTGAGAAGCGGCCTCCGCACAGCCCCCCGCAGGACGGGAGGCTGTGAGCTAAGACCAGGTGTTGCGGGCGTCCCCGGCCGTGCTGGACGTTTTGGCCTGTAGTCTAAGTCCAGGAGAAACCACTGAGGGTGTTGGTGTGGGGGGCGAGCCCAGGGGTGCTGCTGGGCTGGGTGGGAGGGTCTGCTAGTTCACACCGCCCAGTCGGCCCGGACTGGGGCTGTGCATTGGATGTGCGTTTTCTTGAAGATGATTTGCCGTTAGTATCAAAAGTCGTCGGTAACGTACCAGAAAGTGTACGTTTTGACCCAGCAGTTCCGTCTCGGGGCGTCTGTTCTAAAGAGATCATCTCAGTGTGAGTGAAAGAGGGGTCACCGGTGTCACCCTTGTTACTTATGATAAGAAATCGCTCGGAAAGATTCCCAACAAGGGGCGGTCCTGCTGGCTGTGCCGAGGCCGCGTCACCCAGGAAGTTCCTCGTGGGGGGGGTGCCCGGAGGAGAGACTCGAAAGTACGGAAGCGGGAGGTAGATGCTGGGAGACGCAGATGGGGCAGGAGAGCTTCCGGGAGAGGAGCACCTTCGTCAGGGAGGCGGGGCTTCTACCGGGACCTCTCCCTTCCCTCCTGAAAGCCAGCCTGGGGACCCTGCCCACCTGTGTCCCCCGAGCCCACCTGTGCCCCTGAGCCCACCTGTGCCCCTGTACCCACCTGTACCCCGTGCCCCCTGTGCCCCCTGTACCCACCCACCTGTACCCCATGCCCCCCTGTGCCCCCTGTACCCCCTGTGCCCCCTGTACCCACCTGTGCCCCTGTGCTCACCTGTACCCTGTACCCCCTGTGCCCCCTGTAGCCACCTGTACCCCTGTGCTCACCTGTACCCTGTGCCCCCCTGTACCCACCTGTGCCCCCTGTACCCACCTGTGCCCCTGTGCTCACCTGTACCCTGTACCCCCTGTGCCCCCTGTACCCACCTGTGCCCCTGTGCTCACCTGTACCCTGTACCCCCTGTGCCCCCTGTACCCACCTGTGCCCCTGTGCTCACCTGTACCCTGTACCCCCTGTGCCCCCCTGTACCCACCTGTACCCCTGTGCTCACCTGTGCCCTGTGCCCCCCTGTGCCCCTGAGCCCACCCGTACCCTGTGCCTCCCTGTGCCCCCTGTACCTACCTGTGCCCCCTGTACCCCCCTGTGCCCCCTGTGCCGTGGGTGCTGCAGGGGAAATGCTCTCAGGCCTGGAGAGGCCTGGTGGCCGCGGGTGAATCTGAGTCCCTTGGCTCAGCATTGAGGAGCAGGATGAGTTTGGGACCAAACATCACTCCCCCCTCCTCTCCTAACCCACCCCCAGCGTATTTCAGGACATAATCAACGCAGGAAAAGCAGCCCAACACTTGTCAGGAGGAGAATCGGTCTTTGCGTCTCCCCTTCTCCCTCCTCCTCCCTCCCAGGTGCCTTCCCTCCCCCCGGAGCCCGTTCTTTGTGAGGCTGGTGCCTGCGGTGGCTTTCTCCACGGCCCGTGGCCTGCAGGCTGCGTTCCCGGAACTGCGGGCAGGGCTGTGTGCCCGCCTCGCTGCCTCGTCTGCGGTGCTCGGTGGGCCTGCGTGTCCTCGCTGCCCGGTCCCCTGCTCGGGGCCAGATTAGCTGGGGGTTCCCAGAGGAGTGTTTGCTCGGTGAGCCGGCGGCATTTCCTAGTGTCCTGCTTCCCGCCGCAGGGGAGCCCCGTCTGTGCCCGCAGACCCCCCGGAATCGCCTGGAGCTCGCGGGGTGTTCTGAACCGCGGTCCGCCAGACACAGGTGCTGCGGCTGCTTCCGTGAGACCCAGTTTGCGGAGTCCGTCCCGCTGTGCTGTCGGGAGCACCCGACACTGTCGCAGCCGTCACCCTGACAGCGCTGTCCAGTCCTCAGGACTCGGCAGGATGTTGTGGGGTCAGGGGAGGCGTGCCCCGCTCGCTGAGTATGAGCTTATTGCAGAGAACGGGCAGACCCACCCCGTCTGTCTGTGTGGGCCTGAGTCCCGGGGCATCCTGGGTGGAGGGGCTTAAGTGCCGTCTTGAGTGTCCGTCTGTCCACGCCGGGGTGGGCCAGTGCTGACAGAGACCACGGCGTGAGACGGTGTGTGTGAGACGGTGTGTGTGTGTGAGATGGTATGCGTTAGTGTGTGTGTTAGTGTGTGAGTCTGTGTTGATGCTGTGCGTTGACGCTGTGTTAGTGGGGGGACACTGTGCTGACGCTGTGCTGGGTGTCAGTGGGGGGACACTGTGTTGACGCCGTGCTGGGTGTCAGTGGGGGGACACTGTGTTGACGCCGTGCTGGGTGTGTCAGTGTGAGGGGCACTGTGCTGACGCCCTGCTGGGTGTCAGTGGGGGGACACTGTGTTGACGCCGTGCTGGGTGTCAGTGGGGGGACACTGTGCTGACGCCCTGCTGGGTGTCAGTGGGGGGACACTGTGTTGACGCCGTGCTGGGTGTCAGTGGGGGGACACTGTGCTGACGCCCTGCTGGGTGTCAGTGGGGGGACACTGTGCCGATGCCGTGCTGGGTGTGTCAGTGTGAGGGGCACTGTGCCGATGCCGTGCTGGGTGTCAGTGGGGGGACACTGCGCTGACGCCGTGCTGGGTGTCAGTGGGGGACACTGCGCTGACGCCGTGCTGGGTGTCAGTGGGGGGACACTGCGCTGACGCCGTGCTGGGTGTCAGTGGGGGGACACTGCGCTGACGCCGTGCTGGGTGTCAGTGGGGGACACTGTGCTGACGCCGTGCTGGGTGTCAGTGGGGGACACTGTGCTGACGCCGTGCTGGGTGTCAGTGGGGGGACACTGCGCTGACGCCGTGCTGGGTGTCCGGCCGTGCTCACTGCCTGCGGACGGGTCGCACTGCCATCACCTCCCCACTGGGACCTTTCCGCTCTAGGCCCTAAGCAGTGTCCCCCGCGCGGCACCGACCGCCTTCTGCACCCCCCGTCATGCTCGTGGTTCACAGGGAGGTTCTCACGCCTCCGAAAACAGCCGGGTCTTGAGCCTTGTCGGTGACTGTCCGGGGAAAGCGGAACCAGACCCTTGTTGTATTGTTCTCGCAACTGATTCCTCCTCGCTAACGCTGCCCTGTCCCGCCTCTGCAGCCGGGAGATGGACACCCCGCGGGGGCTGCACAAGATGGACGACCGGCCGGAGGAGCGCGTGATCCGGGAGAAGCTGAAGGCCACCTGCATGCCGGCCTGGAGGCACGAGTGGCTGGAGCGCAGGAGCCGCCGGGGCCCCGTGGTGAGTGGGGGCCGTGGTGAGGGGGCCCCGTGGTGAGTGGGGGCCATGCTGAGGGGGGCCCGTGGTGAGGGGGGCCCGTGGTGAGTGGGGCCGCAGGCCACGGGGCGCTTGCCCGCTCCGGGCCGGAGGCACAGGCTGGGTCCGCGTGGTCCTGTGGCCAGACCGCTCGCCGGTGCCCACTGGGCAGCCCCCGCGGGCCTGCGTGGTGCCCGGGGGCCGGTGCTTGAGCAACACTGCCCCCTGCTGTCGGCATCCAGCATCCTCCCTCAGACGTCGTGCTGACTTAAAACTTAAAAAAGAAAAGCAACTTTTCCACGTTTATTTTGATTCTTTATCTCTAAGGTATGATCTAAGGATCTTAATTCCAGAAATCTTTCAGGAGATCAGAAAAAATTGAGTCGATTCGTGGATTTGAGATCAATTGAAGAGGCCCAGGGTTTGGGGAAGCACCTAGACCCAGGGTAGGGAGGGCGGGCGGCAGACCGCGGAGGTGCGCGGGCTCGGTTCCGGACCCCGTGACCAGCGTCACCGCTCGGCCAGTGGATGGTCCCCTCATCCGTGAGAAGCACTTCCGTGGAGCACGGGGAAGCCACACACAGCGAGACATCCCGTCTGCCGGGTCCGTGCAGTGAGCTTCTTCACGCTCAGGGAGGAAGAAGCGGATCTCGGGGTTTCGGTGGTCCAGGGCAGGCACGCCATAATTTCTGTTTCTTATTTATGAACAGAGATGGGGTGTGTGTGTGTCAGGGGGAGTGTGTCACCGTAAAGGTTACTGAGCAGACATTCACTGGGCATTTGAAAGCCCTGAACGGCCGCCCCGCCAAGTGATTCTCTGGCCTGTGCCCACCCCCGTGCGGCGTGCGTCTAGACGTGAACAAGAGGGAGAATGTCCCTCCTCGGCCGCGTGGCCGGTGGTCGAGCTGTGATGGGCAGTGTGGCTGGAGACACTGTCGCCTCAGAAAGTCCTGCTAGGCCTGGAGCTCCGGCCCGTCGCCATGGAGGGCCCTGCGGGGTCCGCCCGCCCGCCCGCTGGCCCCAGAGCCGACTCGGCACCGAGCGGCTTGGCCTCCAGGCACCGGCTCCTCAGCTGCCCCGCCGCCCGGGGTCGCCCTCCCCGTGGCGAGTCCCCACACGCGTGTCTTCCTCCGTGACGCTGAGCGCTCAGAGCCCTCACCCCCAGTCGTCGCGTCCGCAGACGAGGAGCACGTCAGGAACTCGTCTTAGAAGACGGAAGGTCTGTCGGAACATTCACAGAAGTGGTAGCTTTCTACCCACTCGGCGTAACGAAGGGGTCTGGACGGCGCCCGTCCCCGAGCTCCGTGAGCCGGTGCGGGGTCCGCGTGGCGAGAACGTCCCAGCGCAGACAACGACTGTCTGCCTTGGTTACGTGCGCTGAGAACACCGCGCCTCATAGACCAGGTCTGTTCTCACTGCCTGTCCGCCGACTTCCTAGCCCCATCTGTCCAGCGCGGACTGAAGAGGGACCTCGTGGCACCAGACAGCTTCTTCCTCTTTCTGTATTGATGTTGGAGAGAGAGGAGGGGAGAGGGAGAGAGAGATGGAAACATCGATGGGAGAGAACATGACTGGCCGCCTCCTGCACGCCCCCCACTGGGGCCCGGGCCCACAACCTGGCATGTGCCCTGATGGGGAATCAAACCAGCAACCTCTTGGTGCAGGGTCAACGCTCAACCACTGAGCCACACCAGCTGGGCACCACCACATCTTCCTACAGATTTCACGTCGCCCCTAAGAAGTCCTCCATCTGCTCGGCCGTCTGTTCTGTGTTGTGTGTACGTCACAGCAGACCTTCTGGAGGCGCAGTGAGGCGTACACACCCCGGCTGTGGGCAGACTGCTCCCCACAACACGCAGACCCCACACAGGGCACATAAACCTCGGCTGTGGGCAGACTGCTCCCCACAACATGCAGACCCCACACGGGGCACACACACCTCGGCTGTGGGCAGACTGCTCCCCACAACATGCAGACCCCACACGGGGCACACACACCCCGACTGTGAGCAGACTGCTCCCCACAACATGCAGACCCCACACGGGGCACACACACCCCGACTGTGAGCAGACTGCTCCCCACAACACGCAGACCCCACACAGGGCACATAAACCTCGGCTGTGGGCAGACTGCTCCCCACAACATGCAGACCCCACACGGGGCACACACACCTCGGCTGTGGGCAGACTGCTCCCCACAACATGCAGACCCCACACGGGGCACACACACCCCGACTGTGAGCAGACTGCTCCCCACAACATGCAGATTCCACCTGGGGCACACACACCCCGACTGTGAGCAGACTGCTCCCCACAACATGCAGACCCCACCTGGGGCACACACCCCGACTGTGAGCAGACTGCTCCCCACAACACGCAGACCCCACACGGGGCACACACACCCCGACTGTGAGCAGACTGCGCCCCACAACACGCAGACCCCACACGGGGCACACACACCCCGACTGTGAGCAGACTGCGCCCCACAACACGCAGACCTGACATGGGCGTGGGCGGGCACACAGCAGCGGCTGAGCACGAGGAGTTGTCCGGCTGGTGGGGGCAGGGCTCCATGGGAGGTGGGGTTTGAGCTGGGCCCGAACGGGGGGCCCGCTTTCTCCAGGTGAGGCATGTCATCCGGGGGCTGCCGGCTGGATGGGGATCAGGGCGGCCGCGTGGTCCCTGCGGGAGGAGGACGGGCACACGCCTGGCTGGTGGACGAGGAGAGGGAGACGGGCAGAGGTGTGCTGAGCGGGGACTCTCGAGGTGCAGGGGTCGGCCTGTGGTCACAGCTCGGGGTCTGAAAGCCTGAGCTGTAAAAACTGTGGGTCTCACCCTGGCCGGTTTGGCTCAGCGGTTAGAGCGTCGGCCCGTGGACCGGAGTCCCGGGTTCAGTTCCCGCTAGGGGCACGGACCTCTGTTTCAGTGTGTCCCCGGCCCCGGTTGGGGTCCTGTGGGTGGCAGCCACTCGATGTGTCTCTCTCACGTCGATGTTTCTCTCTCCCTCCCTCCCTCTCTCTCCTGCTCTATCCGAAGATAAATGCAGAAATGTCCTCAGGGGAGGATAAAAACAAATGAACTGCATTCCCGCCCCAGAGACTGACCTTTGAGCTTCTAGCTTCTCCCCGTGTTTCTGAGACACGCGTCTGCACTATCTGTGGTAATGGAGCATCGCCCCAAAACAGGCAACAGTGGTCCATAGTAATCTCAGAATATCCGATTCCTTCGGATGACGCCCAGCGTTGGCCCCACGTCCTGCCGTCTTCGGTGCGGCTGGGACCCAAGCCCCTGCTTCGGTCCGTCGGGGAATGGGCGTGGAAGTCGAAGTGCTCACTCCCACACTCGTCCCCTGACCCCGCTGCTGCTGAGTGTGGAGGGACTCGCAGCGCGTAAGCACGGACGAGCCCGGTGCCCACGGGCCGGAGACGGCACGTTGCCGGACTCGCCCACGCGGCTGGCGTCTCGGGGCGGATTCGTCCACTGAGCAGAGTGGGCGCGTTGTCTGTTCGACGTGTGCACCACTGCAGCAAACTCCGTGTGCTCGTCTCTTAGTCTGCGTTCCGATGTCCTTATTCTTGGTGTTTTGAAGTAATCAGACCGTTGGGATTTCTTGTAGGTGGTGAAACCAATTCCTGTTAAAGCCGATGGATCTGAACTTAATAACTTGGCAGCTGAGTCGCAAGGAGAGGCCCAGGCGAGCCCGGCGGCCCCGGCCCCCAAAGGCCGCCGCAGCCCGTCCCCCAGCGGCTCCCCGGCGGGGCGCCCAGCGAAACCGGAATCTCCGGGAGTGAGGAGGAAACGCGCCTCCCCAGTGCCGGTATGTTGACGATTCGGCAAACGTGTGCCGTTTCTGTCGTCCTCAGACTCCCTCACAGCAGGTATCGGCAGTCAGCGTGGCGGCGCTCGGTGCGGGCTGGGCCGGGCAGGTTCTGCGGACCCTCTGGGTCATAGCTGAGGTTTCGAGGTCACAGTGAGGGTGGCGCACCAGAGTGGTCCCCAGAATTGAAGCTGGGATGACAGATCGTTCCCCTAGGCTCAGTCTTCTCAAGGTGAAGTCCGTGAAATCCACTGACCAGTGGAGGTGTTTTTATCACCAGTGGTACGATTTCCAATTTCAAGCAAAAATTTGAACTTTGGAAAACTCATTCCACCACCGTAAGCTCGACGACTTCTCCAAACTTAGGCTTTTTACAGGAGATGGGTGATGTTGTCAGATCTGAATTCACTTTTCCGTGCCGCCCAGCAAAGTGTGTGAGCGCTGGGGGCACTGCAGACTTGGGGGGCACGTGATGACGGAGCCTGCTGGGTGCAGGACCCACCGAGTGCGCCGCACGGTGCGGACTTGAAGGAGCGGCGGGGGAGGTTTGCCGATGTGGTTTCAGATTCCACACCGCGGCCTCCTGTAAGAAACCACCCCGCCGGTGTGGTGTCGAGGGGTGTCCGTGATTACTTGAAAGGCGATTCAAGTGCCACTCCAGCTGCATCTGGGTGAGGCCAGATTCTCTTCACGTATTTTAAACAGAACTTGGATCGCAGCCGAGCTCGTGCAGAGCGTCCACGAGAACCCAGCTGTCCTCTGTGTTAGGCCAGAAAGCACAAGGGGTGCGACGTCACAGGTGCTGACTGATGAGTGAGACGTGGAAACGCCCCTGGAGAAACAGCCGCAGTAGTGACGGGGGGATGTGGCCTCCCCCTGATCCAAGGTTGTCGAAGCATGTAAATCCCTCAAAAAATAGATTTTCAGTGGACATATCTGCAGTAAAGCCAATGACGCCAACAGTGTTTATTGGCTGTATATTGACACACCTCTAAACGGACTGTTTTTTAACCAAAAATAATGTCCGTCGTTTATTAGCTCACGAGTCTGCACGCCAGCTAGGGCCCAGCAGGAGGGGTGTGCCCGCGCCCCCCGCCCCCCCCGGCACCTGCTGCAGCTGAGTCTCCGGGGCGCCCCCTCGCCCACAGGCGGCTGCAGCCGAGGCTCCCTGCACCGCTCCTCAGCAAGGAGCTCGGTGCACAGAAGTGTCTCGAGCTAGGAGAGCGGGGTCTCGCACGGCCCGCAGGGAGCCGCCTGGCCGACACGGAGGCCGTAGCCTGCCGGTCTCGGGAGCCGGGTGTTTCAGGAGGGCAGGTCCCGACACGGAGGCCGTAGCCTGCCGGTCTCGGGAGCCGAGTGTTTCAGGAGGGCAGGTCCCGACACGGAGGCCGTAGCCTGCCGGTCTCGGGAGCCGAGTGTTTCAGGAGGGCAGGTCCCGACACGGAGGCCGTAGCCTGCCGGTCTCGGGAGCCGAGTGTTTCAGGAGGGCAGGTCCCGCCGACACGGAGGCCGTAGCCTGCCGGTCTCAGGAGCCGGGTGTTTCAGGAGGGCAGGTCCCGACACGGAGGCCGTAGCCTGCAGGTCTCGGGAGCCGGGTGTTTCAGGAGGGCAGGTCCCGACACGTCGGCCGTAGCCTGCCGGTCTCGGGAGCCGGGTGTTTCAGGAGGGCAGGTCCCGACACGTCGGCCGTAGCCTGCCGGTCTCGGGAGCCGGGTGTTTCAGGAGGGCAGGTCCCGACACGGAGGCCGCACCAGGCCAGCACTGACACCGTGTGCAGGTGCCTCTGCCCAGAGCTAGCGACACACCCAGGTCTAGTCAGCGGGACACACTGGGTGTGAGGACTGGGGAGTGTGGTCCACGGGCCGTCAGAGGAAAAGTCTGCCACAGGTGTGTACGAGCCCCCACCCCCCAAGGATATACACTAGACGGAGTCCCCCCTTCTTTGTAACAGCTGCATAGCATTTTATCATCTGCATAAATCATGGTTTAATCAGTGACCTGCACACTAGTGATGTTCACAGTCCCTCTTAACCTTTCTTTACAGGCATGGTACACACACACGCACACACATGCACACACGCACACGTCCTGCACATCTGTGAGCATGTCCGTAGTCTGACGCTTAGCAGGTCAAAGAGTGTGTGTGTCCTTGGTTTTATTTTTTTGCTACTTTTAAGTACCTGTTAAAAAAAATAATAGCAGCTTCATTGAGATGTAATTCACATACTATGCAATTTGCCTGTTCAAATTGTACGATCCGTCGGGTTTGGGGATGCTCACAGAACTGTACCTCGCACTGCAATGAATTCAGTACATTTTTGTCGCCCCGAGAAGAGACCACAGACCATCATCCGTCTCTCCCTAGGCCTAGGCAACCACTTGTCTGCTTCTGCCCCATGTGTGATCTGCCTGTGCTGACATTTCGTGTCCATGGGTCACAGCTGGGTGGCGTGTGACTGGCTTCTGTCACTTGGCATCGGCTTTCCAGGGGTCACCTCATCAGCGTCCCATCGGTTTTACTGCAGCATCATCTCTGTTACGTGGGTGCACATTTCGCTCATCCACTCCTGCGTGGATGGACGGTGGTGGCGCCCCATTTGGCCGTCACGGGTGCTGCTGCTGGGAGCACTTACGTACGAGCTGTTGCGCAGACGCCTCTTTTCGCTTCTCAGGGGAATTGCTGCGTGTGCGTTCCCCAAAGCCCTGCACCGCCTGCATCCCCACCAGCACTCATGAGTTTCCACTGCCTTTGGGCTCACCGACATCTCTGATCCCAACTGTTCAGTCAGACTCATAAAGAACTAGAGTGTCCGTGGGGCGCTGGTTGGAAAACCAAAGGTGTGGGGGACCCCACCCCCAAGAGGGCCCAGCAGCCCAGTGACACGGCCGATCTGGGTGGAGTTGCCCTGTTAGTTGTGAGGTGCCGGGTGCAACAGCCACACCCGGTGGGGCAGGACGGGGTGAGTAGGGGCGGTGGGAAGATGTCCTTGTACCAGCTTGTGGGGTGAAGTTCCTATGCTTTTTGTTTTGGTTTCCATAGTACTTTTACTCAAATACTCATATAGTGTCACACGTGGTTTTGTCTTGGCCAAAGATGTACCGTAGTTACGGGCTGGCAGACGGAGAAGTTCACTGGTGATGAGCGGCAGACAGAAGCATCTGCAGATACGTTTGTCCCGTTAATGTTGACTGCCGAGTGCTCTTTGAGAACATAATGCCACGCGGCTGTCTGATACGGCCTTGTTCGGGGCATTGTTTCCTTTCGAGGAGTAAGCAGTTTTCCTAATAAAGACCAATGTCGTGAAGTTTCAGAGCGGGAGGACCACGCCACCTCGAAGAGCCCCGTCCCCCGACGGCTTCTCCCCGTACAGCCCCGAGGAGACCAGCCGCCGCGTGAACAAGGTGATGCGTGCCCGGCTGTACCTCCTGCAGCAGATCGGCCCCAACTCCTTCCTGATCGGAGGGGACAGCCCCGACAACAAGTACCGGGTGTTCATCGGGCCCCAGGTTCGTGTCCGCGAGGGCTTTCACCACGTGCCGTCAGATGAGTGCGTCAGAGTGGCTTTAAAACACATTCTGGGCTCATAAATATTTTAAATCTAGTTATACAGTTTTTCTACTGTGACTTAATATACTCTAGAATACAAATTCGATCTATTTAATAAATCCACCAAAACTGAGAGGTTACTTTGCGCAGATGGCTGCAGACCTTTCCCGCACGTAAATTCATAGAAACGGGGGTGGTCGGCAGGGACTCCCGTGCAGCACGTAACCAGAGCTGTTCTCCACGCTCCAGAACTGCAGCTGCGGGCGGGGGGCCTTCTGCACCCACCTGCTGTTCGTCATGCTGCGGGTGTTTCAGCTGCAGCCCTCGGACCCCGTGCTGTGGAGGAAGACGCTGAAGAACTTCGAGGTGAGGCTGGCGCGTGCGGAGGAGGGCGCTCGATTGCTTTCCGAGGTGTGGTTCTGCGCGCTGTCTGAGCTCGCCCTGTACCAGAGGTCGTTTGGAAGGTTCGGGGGATAACAGTTCTCGGATCGGTTTGCCTCCTGGCCGGAGCACGGGCAGCGCCCACGGGCCGTGGCAGCCGCGCCCTCCTCGGCTCCGTGTCTGGTTCTGAAGCTCGTTAGTCGGCTTCGTGGAGCCTCGATCAGAGGACACATTCTCCGCCTCTGGGACCGCGCGCACGGGGGCGGCGCCGTCTCACGGTCCCGTCTGTTCCAACCTCAGGTGGAGAGCCTGTTCCAGAAATACCACAGCAGGCGCAGCTCGCGGATCAAAGCGCCGTCTCGAAGCACCATCCAGAAGTTCGTGTCCCGCATGTCGAACCCCCACACGCTCGCGTCGCCCAGCACGTCGGCGTCCAGCTCCGAGAACAGGTGGGTGCCTGCCCCCCCCCCCCCAGCTTTCTGATTTCAGGGCTGCTTGTTCGCGTCCCTTGTTAAGTTGCTCCAAAGTGATCTAATGATTGTATCTTGGCCTTTGAGTTAAAATCAAGGGTAAAAATGACTGAAGGTCGTATTGAGAGAGAGAGAGAGAGTGTGTGTGTGTGTGTGTGTGTGTACATACACGTGTGCACACACACTCTCTCACACATGGACATGCCGTCCTGGGAACTGCGGTGTTGAGGAGGGTGCCTGGGTGTCAGGCTACAGCGCGTGTCGTCCAGACATTGTGAAGGTTCCAACAAAAATGTGCAGAGTAGAAACAAACCCCTCCGCAGTCCGGGCTGCACGTTCGACGGGCCCTGGGTGTGCAGAGTCAGTGTTCTGAGAAGAACAGCGAATTCCTCGCATGATCGGTGTTTCCCCACCAGCAGCCTCGAGAGCCTGTGGTCCCGTGTCCTGGTCGGGCCGGGTGTTTCCAGCCTCAGGAACTTCTGTCTATCGGATCATTAAAAAAAAGACACAGGGCATCACAATTTTAATATGCACTTGGTACTTTTCTCATGTTCGTTGGTATTTTTATTTCAATTGCCTTTTTAAAAAACATATATGTTTTTGTTGATATTTTAGAGAGAGAGGAAGGGAGAGAGAGAAACACTGATGGGCTGCCTCCTGCACGCCCCCTACTGGGGAGCGAGGCCTAAACCCGGGCCTGTGCCCCGACCAGGAATCGAGCTGGGACCTCTCGGTCCACGGGACGACTCTCAGTCCACTGAGCCACACTGGCCAGGCTTCATTTATCTTTTTATCTTCTTTGCTCATTTTATGTTGAGTTGTAAGTATTTTTCTTTTAATTTTTTTTTCTTTATTGGTTTTAGAGAGGAAAGGAGAGGGAGAGAGAGAGAGAAACATTGATAAGAGAGAACATAGATTGGCCGCCTCCTGCACGCCCCCCGCCGGGGATCCAGCCCACAACCTGGGCCTGTGCCCTGCCCGGGAGTCAAACCAGTGACCTCTCAGTGCAGGGTCGACGCTCAGCCACCAAGACACACTGGCTGGGCTTAACGACTTTTAAAAGTACCTTCTATATTAGGAATCTCCACACACACACACACACACACACACGATATAACTCAGACTCATACAACAAAGTGGCAGTTCTGCCCGAGGGGATCACTGTCCGAGTCTGAGTTCTGGGGTGCTGCCTGCCGTCACCACGGGGTGCACCTGGGCATCTTTGTCGCTGTTTATGGATCTCTGATTTGTTATAAAGACATCGTTCTGTCTGAGTATGTCATTTTTTAACCCTTTGGTGTTCATTTGGTTCGCTTTTTTCATCATGAAAATAGTCCTGCAGTGCCCATCCTCAGACGTGTGTCTCTGCCATCTCTCTATCCCTGATGGCACACTGCTGAGTCCAAACGAGAGGTCGTGTCCGTTACAGATGGGACTTGTCTTCAGGGCAGCCGGACAGTGTACACACCCAGCGAGGGTGTGAGAGGGGCCTTCCCACAGGGGGTGCGGACCGGCTGAGCTCCGAGGTGCCCCCCGCTCCGCACACCACGGGGGGTGTGGGCACAGTCACACCTCTCAGCAGCTTGCTTGTTCAGAAGGTGCAAGAGCGGAATTGGGGACCCTTCACCCTAAAACTGCAGTTCCCACATTGAGGCCCAGTCGTAGCGAGGAGGGGGTGACTCTGAGGTCCAGTCGCGCCACGTCCCTCGGGCTGTGTTCTGCAGCCACGAGCTCGTGCAGGGACCGGCCCGCTCCGTGCTCACCCGTGGTCTCCGCTGTTGCAGCATCAAGGACGAGGAGGAGCAGATGTGCCCCATCTGCCTGCTGGGCATGCTGGACGAGGAGAGCCTGACGGTGTGCGAGGACGGCTGCCGGAACAAGCTGCACCACCACTGCATGTCCATCTGTAGGTGCCCGGCCGCCCGCCCGGGGTGTCTCCCCTCCCTAGCTCCCGGGCTGCAAGGACAGGGGGTCCCACGCCACGTGCTCTGCTCACCGACCAACTGTGGGGGCTGCCAGGCTTGGCCAGCAGTAGTGCCCGGTAGTTCAGTGTTTGGGGGTCAGAAGGTATGCGCAGTGGGGGGGCATCAGCACCCCAAACCCCTGTGTTGTTCAAGGGTCACTGGGTATTATTCAGGATTTCAACGTGGCTTTTGAGGAGGTTGGTGAGGGAAGGGAAGACTAGACAGGTGGGGCAGAAGTCGGGGTACAGTTGTGAGAACGAGACAGTTTGTTCTCGTATCACTGTTCACGAATTCTTGTCATGTCATACGAACAACCCTGACCCTGCATTTGCTCCCCCGTGGGGGCCCTGTGGGGTTTTCAGCAGACTGGAGGGTGGGACCTGGTATGAGATGAGCTGTCAGCAGAGACGGAGCTGGCACGACAGACGCAGGGAGCTCCCGGGCCAGAACACGGTTGAGGTCGGCAGGCGGGCGGGGCCAGGAGGTTTGGGACGCCGCCCAGCTGAGCGGCAGATCGGAAATGCAGCAGGCAAAGCCCCCGTGTTTTAACAGACCAGTAAAGAGCGCTGGCCGCGGGCGTGGCCATCGGGTTCTAACCGCTGCACCTGCTCCCGGGCCAGTGCCCGTCTGTCCCGGGTCCCTTCCGTGTGCTAGTCTGCGCTCGGCGTGACCGTGCTCCGCGTCTCTCCCCAGGGGCCGAAGAATGCAGAAGGAACAGAGAGCCCCTGATGTGCCCTCTGTGCAGGTCTAAGTGGAGGTCCCACGATTTCCACAGGTGAGTTTCCATGGCTGACTTGGCCTTGTTAGGTAAAAACTGAGCCGTTCTCGAGCGTTATTTAAATCCGTCCATTCTTTTTAGCAAACTGTGTTGATTTTTCACTTAGTCACGACCTGTCGAGCCCGGTGGACTCCCCGTCATCCCTGCGGGCCCAGCAGCAGGCCCCCCAGCAGCCGCCTCTGGCTGGACTGCAGCGCAGGGCCCCGGAGGGCAGCTTCAGCCTCACCCACTACGGTGCTCAGCAGATCCCGCCAGCCTATAAGGACCTGGCTGAGCCCTGGACTCAGGTACTTCTCGTTCTCCGTGTGCTTGTCCCGTCGCGACCCCCCTCGCAACGCCTGGTTCCCCCTCGGCTGTTAGCTGCGTGGCTTATTTCAGAGCTTAGACTTCAGAACCTCCCCTTTCTGAACTAACAGACGCAAACAGTTACCCAGGGGCACACGCTGGCAGCTTCGGCAACGACTCGGTGTAGAATGCCGTCCCGCTGAGACTGTCACTTGTTCCTCTTGGGCCAGAGACACGGCCTCCTTGCCGGAGCCTCTGGCTGTCGGGGGCTCATCGCCGCCTGAATGAGCCGGTGCCTCTCAGTCACTTTGTGGGGAAGGACAGTTCCCGGTGTCTTTACCTTCTCTTCCGATTAGTGCTTTTTAGCCTCAGTAAATTGGAATTTTAGTTGCTTCGTCCATTATGTTTTAAATAGAACTCAGCCCCGCGGGTGTGGCTTAGTGGGTTGAGCGTTGTCCTGTGCACCAGGCTCAATTCCTGATCAGGGCACACGCCTGGGTCTCGGCCTTGGTTCCAGAGGTGGGGAGTGCAGGGAGGCAGCTGACCGATGTTTCTCTCTCCCTCTCCCTCCCCCCTCTCTAAACACCAATAAAAACATATTTAGATCTACTTCAAACCAGACAATGTCTGCAGTAGACAAAGGAGAGTGAAGTATTTTTTATTATCTGTTCATTCTGTTTCACACTCAGACTTGTAAACAGAGTAACTCATTGTATCCTGCAGCTTCCGAATCCTCTGTTCTCAGCGTGTTAGCAACCTGTTATGAATCTAATGACGTTTGCAAACAATAAATGTATCTCAGGTCTTCGATCTGGGTCACGGATGGCCTTTCCCTGGGCTCTCTCCTGCCCTTCCTGAGCATGAGACACTGGGCACCCGCCTCCCAGGCGGAGGTCTTGGCTTGTTCAGCGCTCGGTCGGACTGGGCTGTGCATCCCCAGTGTCTCGTGAGGACTGTCATGTGAGACAGAATTAAGACTTAGATGGTGGTATGCTCTTTGGCAGTGCTGGTCAGAGAGTAACTTCACTACTTTTCTAGTTGATGTATTTATTCCTGTTATCACTTTTTTTTTTTTTTAATCCTCACCCGAGGGCATTTTTCCATTTTTGTTCAGGTAGAGTAGGAGGGAGAGAGAGGAAGAGAGAGAGAGAAACAGCGATATGAAAGGGACACATCGAGTGGCTGCAACCGAGGTACATGCCCGTAGTAGGAACTGAACCAGGGTCTCTCTGGACCATAGGCTGATGCTCTAACTGCTGAGCCAAACCGGCCAGGGCTCTCTTTATCACTTTTAGCAAACACACGTATAAATATGTCACAATTGCCCGGCCGGGGTGGCTCAGTGGTTGAGCGTCCACCCCTGCGCCAAGAGGTCGCCGGTTCGATTCCTGGTCAGGGCACGTGCCCGATCCCCAGGGGGGACGTGCAGGAGGCGGCCAGTCAGTGTTCTCTCTCATCCACGTTTCTCTCTCTTTCCCTCCCCCTTCCTCTCTCTCTAAAATCAATAAAGAAAAAATACTTTTTTTCAAAAGTGCCCAGTTCTCCTCGGTAACGAGAACCCCTACTAGTTCAGGATACGTCAGGCGCGTCCGTCTTCTCCACGCTGAGCTCGCTGTGCTTGGTTGCAGGTGTTTGGGACGGAGCTGGTCGGCTGCTTGTTCTCCAGAAACTGGACCGTCCGGGAGATGGCCCTGCGGCGCCTGTCCCACGACGTCAGCGGGGCCCTGCTGCTGGCGCACGGGGAGAGCTCCGGGGTTGGCAGCGGGGGCCGGAGCAGCCCGGCCGCCGGCGCGCCCGGGGACGTGGTGGGGGCCTGCTGCAGCGTCCTGTCCATGGTCTGTGCCGACCCTGTCTACAAAGTGTACGTTGCTGCTTTAGTAAGTAGCGTCAGCCCGTCGCCGCCGCTCGTGGGTGGGTGGCTGGTGTGTGCTTGGGGGAGATCCAGGGAAGCTTCACCTGGCGTAATTCTGGAAAATGCAGATTCTCTTTTTATTCCATAATCCCGGGAAATCGCCATTTCCCATTTAACCTCTTCACTTGGCTCTTAAGTTAGTCTGTCCGAGTCCTCGTACACGGTTCTGTTCTCCGCGGGAGGACCTGTGTGGCCGGCCACACCCTTACGTGTCCTTACCCTACACAGGGCCACGTCGCCGGTGCTCTGTGGGGTGGTGGCACGTGGTCCGTTACTTCGATGTTTTTTAAACTTGATGTCAGTAGACCTTAAGGAGGGCGGAAGTTCGATGAACCGTGTGGAGATTCAGGAGTGTCCACAGGAGGGATCCAGGGTGCAGCTCGTCACTGCGTAACCCTTAGGAGCTGTCCTTCACGAGTGGGGCGGAAGGAGAGGAGGCGGTGTCCTTGCGGGGGCTCGTTTGACTTTCCCATTCAGAGTGGAGAGCGGGGTTGAGAGGGGTTCTCAGCCTCAGCACCACTGGGCCGCACGGTTGCTGCGTGAGGCAGGGACCCTCCTGTGCATCGCCGCCCGTGTTCGGCAGCTCCTCGGCCTCTGCCCCTGGGTCCCCGTTGTACCCCCCCGCTCCCCGCGGGTCGCAGACGCCCCAGTTCGGAAGCACTGCCTCAGACCAGCTCCTCTGCTGTGGTTTCGAAGTCACTTCCCCTCACTCGGTCCCCTCACCCCCGAGCCGCCACGCCGGTGTCTTCTCGGAGCCGTCTGGTTACGGACAGGCCTGTGGGGTCAGCATGGAGTGACTCACTCAGAATCCATCATCCATCCCACCTGGGGCCCTGGGCTGACCGGCCTGGGTGATCGGGCTGCGTGGTCACAGCCAGAGACCTCGATTCAATCCCGGGTCTCCTGTTTGCTCGCAGTGGGAGTCTGAGACTTCAGCTCTCACCATAAAGGAACGGAAATGTACCCCTGAGTTTGAATAGAAGCCTCTGGGCACACTGAGCAGCACCGTGTGAGAAACTGAAACCTGCTGACACCGTCGCTCCTTGAAGTGCCGCCTGGATAGCTCGGGCTGAGGGCTGGGCTCGGGCAGGGGCAGGGGCAGGGGCCGGGGCCGGGCGATGGAAGCTCCCCGGGGAAGGAGTTTGTGTTCACCTGACACTGGTCAGCACACGAGGTTAGGGGGTCTGTCCGGATCCTCCCCTAAGCGGACAGACTTCGAGGTCTGTGCCCTCGGGCGGTGCGCTGCTCCCAGCTTGTCACCGCGGCCTGTCTTCCTGTCGCATCTGGAAAGCCCAGCGCACACTGAGCAGTGTAGAGACCCACGTTCTGTAGGCGAAGACCCGTGTGCTTGGCCCAGCGTTAGACCTTTTCCTGCTGTTGCCAGCACAGACCTTCAGACCCCTTGGCTCCTCGGTACACCGACCGGTGGTTGGTCCTGCATGGGGTCGGGTGGCGTCCCAAGTAGTCACGGGCGCCGGAGTACAGGGACCCGGGACCCGCCCCGTTCTGCCCGCCCAGAGATCCGTGGGTCCGTGGGTCCGTGGGTCCGTGGGTCCAGCACGGGGCGCGGAGGCGGCCCCAGCCCGGGAATCCTTCCTCTCGCTTCTCCCCCCCTCCAGCTGGGACTGTGTCTCCAGAAGAAATACTGTCTCCTGAAAAACCACAGCGCAGTCAGACTCAGAAACTTCGCATTAGATGCCCTGGCCGGTTTGGCTCAGCAGTGAGAGCGTCGACCTGCGGTCCGGAGAGACCCGGGTTCGGTTCCCGCTAAGGGCACGTACCTCCGTTGCAGTTTGTCCCCGGCCCTGGTTGGTCGTGCGGGTGGCAGCCACTCGATGTGTCCCTTCACGTCGATGTTTCTCTCTCTCTATTCCTCTCTCTCCCTCCCGCTCTACCTGAACAAAAAATGGAAAAATATCCTCGGGTGAGGATAAAAAAAAAAAAAGAAAGAAAGAAACCGCATTAGGACATACTGTCGTGTACTGTGAAGTTCACGTGGAGACATCTCCAGTGACCATCCCGACACTGTCCGCCCCCAGGGCCTTCGTCCATCGGTTGGCCGGTTACTCCTGCGTTGGCCGTGGGGAGCTCCCTCGGGCTGGCTCCAGCCCCTTCTCGCTTTAAAACAAATGTTTGGACTTTTCCTTTTGAAATCAGTTCAGACTTCAGGAAACTGCAGAAGCAGTTCAGAGAGTGTCTTTCTGCGCCGTCCGTGTGTTTACCGTGTCGGGGAGTGTCTTCTGCGCGTGGCCACCATCCTTCGGATGTGACGCCGTCTCACTGTCGCAGTGCGCTCCCCGTCCCCGTCCCCGGCCCGTCCCCGCAGTCACGCCGCCTGCCGTCTGCTCCCACAGAAAACGCTGCGGGCCATGCTGGTGTACACCCCCTGCCACAGCCTGGCGGAACGAATCAAGCTGCAGAGGCTGCTCCGGCCGGTCGTGGACACCATCCTGGTCAAGTGCGCAGACGCCAACAGGTAGGCCCTGCCGGTGCGCGCGCCAGGCGGGCTTGTGCTGGCGGCCGGGCCGGAGAGCCCGTGGTCCGTGAGACCTCCAGGGCCAGAACGGGGGTCCCGGCCTCCCAGAGCTGTGCCGCAGTTCGGCCTTGTTTTCATGAACCCTCCCCCCACAAAAACCCTTCTCGTTACTTTCTGGGTAATGGAACTTTAATTATGAGAGTTTATGTCCAGTAACAGCAGTGTCCCCAAAAATCCCTGCATCCTTGCATTGTCCTTAACCGTCAACAAGGAGCAAGAATGACCCTGACTGGAGGCAGAGGCCCGAGGTGTGGTCATGTGAGCACAGCACCAGCTGTGCTTCCATCAGACCCTGTTCTCGTCACCCCCTCCCCCCCCCCACCTGGGAGGGACGACCCCGCTCAGGGCCTGAGGGCAGCGGAGTGAGTGGGGGCGGCCAACAGGCCTCGGTGGTTCATCACTGATGTCCCGGAGCTCGGGTCCGCCTCCCCCGCCCCAGGCTCCCGTCTGGCCAGGGGCTCAGAAGGGCAGAGCTCACCAAGTCGGCTCTCCTCCCAGCCGAAGGAAGTGCTGCAGGTTTTCCCGTGGCTCGGGGAGAACTGGGCAAGCGAACAGTTTGTGACGTGCGTGGAAAAATCATGTTATTTTTCAACACAAGAATAGGTATTGTTCTGAGGACTACAGTGTTTTTGTGGCCTTCCGAAAACTTTAAAGTTAGGCTGTGTACCTGGCCACCTGAATGAAGGTCATCAGAGATGCTGCAGAAGAGAACGTGACGTGGCGTCTGGGGTGGGAAGGCCGTGAGCTCCCTCCAAGAGATCCTCAGGGAACTCGGGAACCAAGCTGTCCGAGTCTCCTGCTTTCTTCTGACGAGACGAGATCATGAGAGCAGCCCTCTGGGTCTTCGGGTTGGAGGGTTGCTAGCTGTCTAAGAGCCAGGAGGGAGGTCCCACGCGTGGCAGAGGACGGGGTCAAACTTGTGAAGTTGGACCAGTAGTGGGTGTCCTCATTCATGGCGACCTTGTCGATGACACGCCTGGGAACGCCCCCTTCCTGGGGCGCCCCGCCCCGCTCCCCCAGACCCGGCCTGACGCTGCTCCCTTCCCTCGCAGCCGCACCAGCCAGCTGTCCATCTCGACGCTGTTGGAGCTCTGCAGGGGCCAGGCCGGGGAGCTGGCCGTCGGCCGAGAGATCCTGAAAGCCGGTAATGACTTGCTTCTCGCTGACCTGTCCTATCATGTCCTTAGGCTGTCTGACCTCATAACCCCCGACCGGGCGGATTTCGAAGTAATTCTTGTGTTGGTTAGAAATAGAACGTGGGGCCCTGGCCGGTTTGGCTCAGCGGTTGGAGCATCGGCCTGCGGTCCAGAGAGACCCGGGTTCAGTTCCCGCTAAGGGCACGTACCTCAGTTGCGGTTTGTCCCCGGCCCTGGTTGGGTCGTGTGGGTGGCAGCCACTTGATGTGTCCCTTTCACATCCATGTTTCTCTCTCTCTCTCCCTCCCTCACACTCTAAAAAAGAGAAAAGGAGCAGAACGTGGGTTAGGGAAGGCCTTGCCCTGGCGGGACCCGCGGCTCTGGTCGGCCTTGTCTCAGGCTGCTGTCGCTGGTTCCAGCTACTGGTTTTCGCTCCCCTCTCTGCAGGGCCCATCGGCATCGGGGGTGTGGACTACGTCGTAAGCTGCGTCCTCGGCAGCCAGACGGACTCCAGCAACTGGCAGGAGCTCCTGGGCCGCCTGAGCCTCATCGACAGGCTGCTGCTGGAGTTCCCCGCCGAGTTCTACCCCCACCTGCTCGGCAGCGACACTCCACACGCTGAGCCCCTGGAAGTCAGGTACCTCCACCGCCGGCCACCCCTCCCGCCCCGGCCCACCCCCCTGCCGCCGGCCACCCCCTCCTCGGCCAGCCGCCACCACCCCACCCCGCCGGCCGCCCCTCCCGCCCCAGCCCAAGAACCTGTTCCAGATACGCGGGGGACTCAGAAACGACAGCGTGTACGTAGGTCACTGATACCTGACGGACTGACAGACCTGAGGGCTGAGCTGGTTACTTAGACGCTCAGACACCCTGATTATTTCTTTTTGGGATGGGCCAGCGACAAGTCATCCGTCTGTGTCTGCGCGTGCTCTGCGGGCCCCTCGTGATGGCGGCGTGTCGTCCTCGCAGGTATAAGAAGCTGCTGTCCCTGCTGAGCTTCGCGCTGAGGTCCATCGACAACGCTCACTGCATGGTCGGCAAGCTCTCCCGCAGGATCTACCTGAGCTCCGCCAGGATGGTCACCGCCGCGCCGCACGTGTTCGCGAAGCTGGTGGACATGCTGAGCGTGTCCAGCTCCACGCACTTCGCCCGGATGCGCCGCCGGCTGGTGGCCCTCGCGGAGGAGGCGGACATCGCCGAGGCCATCCAGGGCACGGAGGACCCTTCGGACGGTCAGCCTGACGGCTTTGCGCAGGTGTCTGTCCCCAGGAGCTCCCCAGCCCCCGCGGAGAGCAGCGCCCCCCCGGGCGCGGACCCCTTGGAGAAAGCTGGCAGAGGGCTGCGGGCCAGCAGGCTGAGCGTCAGCTCCGAGGACATCTCCGACAGGCTGGCCAGCGCTTCCGTAGGGCTCCCCGGCTCAGCGACGACGGAGCGACCAAAGCCGATGGTTCAGACAAAAGGCAGACCCCACAGCCAGTGTTTGAACTCGTCTCCTCTGTCCCATCATTCCCAGCTCGTGTTCCCAGCCTCGCCGACCCCGTCTCCGTCCGCCCCGGCTGGCGCCGCCGGCGATGTCTCCAAACTCCGGTCTCAGGGATTCGTCCCCTGCAAAGCACCATCTGCATCTCCCCAGACACAGCGCAAGTTCTCCCTGCAGTTCCAGACGAACGGTTCCAAAAGCAAAGACTCCGATACGCTGTCCCCCGTCTTCACTCAGTCCAGACCCCTGCCCTCCGGTCACATCCACCGGCCCACGCCGTCGCGGCCCGCCCCGGGCGGTGCCGGCAGACAGGGGGACGCCTCCAAGGACAGCCTGACGCTCGACCTGAGCGGGCCTTCCGAGGGCGGCGGCGGCGGCGGCGGCGGCGGCGCCGTGATCCCGAGCGACGAGACCGTGTTCACCCCCATCGAGGACAAGTGCAGACTGGACACCAACAGCGAGCTCAGCTCCAGCATCGAGGACCTTCTGGAAGCCTCCATTCCCTCGAGCGACTCCACCGTCACCTTCAAGTCGGAAGTCGCCGTCCTGTCTCCCGAGAAGGACGAGGCCGACACCGCCTACAAGGACGACGTGAGTCACAACCAGCAGTGCAAGCAGAAGATGGAGGCCGAGGAGGAGGAAGCGCTAGCCATCGCCATGGCGATGTCCGCGTCTCAGGACGCCCTCCCCACGGTGCCTCAGCTGCAGGTGGACAACGGAGAGGACATCATCATCATCCAGCAGGATGTAAGTACGGGCCTGCGGGAGGCCCCCGAGTCCCTGGTCCCCCGAAGGAAACGTCATTCAGACGTGAGCTCACCGCTAGAAGCAGGTTTGCACAGTGACACGGTGTCGTATCGTTATCTGAACAGAGACACTCCTGCCCGGCTGGTGTGGCTCAGTGGCTGAGCGTCGACCCTGCACCCGTAGCTCACTGGTTCAGTTCCCAGTCAGGGCACGTGCCCAGGTTGTGGGCCGGATCCCCAGTGGGGGGCGTGCAGGAGGCGGCCAGTTGTTCTGTCTCAGCGATGTCTCTGTCTCTCTCCCCCTCTCCCTTCCTCTCTTGAAAATCAATAAGGAAAAAGTAAATTTAAAAAAAATAAGAAAAAGGAACAGAAACACTCCTTGCCTGTTGCGGAGGCGTTTCTGGGGTGGACGCTGTTCGTGGTGACCACCTGTGGCCTTGACGTCGGCCACCAACACCCTCCTTTCAGAAGCCCCGTTTCTCGGTGGCTTGGGGAGCAGACCGAACAGGCTGACTCCACAACGTCTCTTACAACTGGCAGTAAAGAGCCGCTTCCGTTCGCTTGCAGACCCCGGAGACCCTGCCAGGACACACCAAAGCAAAGCTGCCGTACCGCGAGGACGCGGACTGGCTGAAGGGCCAGCAGATAGGCCTGGGGGCCTTCTCTTCCTGTTACCAGGCTCAGGACGTGGGCACCGGGACCCTCATGGCTGTGAAGCAGGTGAGCGGTGGGGACAAGGGATCGGGTGGGACAGTGACCGTGCGGGAATGACAGCAGAGCCTGCGCCCCTGTGTGGGCGCTTCAGTTCTCGGGGTTCAGAGCGGAGGCTGCCGAACGCTGTGGGTCGTCAGCAGCTGGGGCGATGGTTGTGAGACGCGGCCTCTGTGGCCTCCGGCGGCCCATTGGCTATTGTGCTTTTCACACTGAGGGGAGCGGTGGGGTCCCCCTGTCAGCAGGGCAGGGCCGAGGGCCTCCTGGGGCGTCTGGGCTTACCTTCCGTGATGAGCATGTTTGTAAAGATAAGAAAAGAGTTTTCATTTTAAAATCATATTGGTTCTTATCTCAGGACTGGGCTTTTCTTGCTTTTTTATTTAATCTTTGGGCAGTTCTGAAGGATTGGTTATGTCCCTATTTTATTTTATTTTATTTTATTTATTTTTACTTTTTATTTTTTGTCGTTTTCCTGCTTCTAAAGCTAGATTCTTATTACCGGAAAGAGTCCGGGTATTCTGTAAAGTACCCACACGGCACCCGTGGGCGTAAATGCCGTCTGCTGTGAGTCTGAGCTAATTTGGACTTGTCCTCAGATCAGAATGTTAGTGAAACTGTCACCAGCAACTCACCGGCTTGAGAACTTTCGAACGTGTCTGTTGAACAGGTGACGTACGTCAGAAACACGTCGTCCGAGCAGGAAGAGGTGGTGGAGGCGCTGCGGGAGGAGATCAGGATGATGAGCCACCTGAACCACCCCAACATCATCCGGATGCTGGGGGCCACGTGCGAGAAGAGCAACTACAACCTGTTCATCGAGTGGATGGCAGGTGGGCTGCACAGGCCGCGCCACGGAACTCGCTGGGCTCGGCCTTCAGAAGGTTCCGTGGACACTGCCTTTCGTGGAACAGTGTGACTTTCTGAAGCGCGTCCTCCTGACGTGGCTCAGTGCCCTGGCAGGACGCGTGTCGTCTGTCATTTAAACACAGTGCAGCTTTCGTTACCGCTGCCTCTTAAACTTTGTCGGTGCTTCTTTTGAAATGATTGTGTAGCACAGGTTCGTAGGGATACTTTGGCTAAACCTGCAAGGTACAAGATCCGTGTTGTTCCAGATGGCCTTCGTTAATTGGACAGGTTTAAGAGATGATTTAACGTGACAATAGAAAACTAGAATTAAGATATAACTTGAAAACTTTAGTACAGGTCAGCTAACACTGAAGCATCCAGGTGAGCCCTGTCGTCTGCTTCGACAAAGAGACCGCGTTTTGTTTTGTGTTGTGCAGTGTGCACAGTAAAATAAGTGACTTGGGGTATAATAAGTAGACAAGTGCTTGGTTTAACTTCTTAGACCTTTTGTATTTGAAGAGTGTATATCTGTTTACAAATCTGTTCTTTTTTTGTTGTCGATTCAAAGGATACTTTTCCGCTGATTTTTTTAGAAAGAGTAGAGGCGGGGAGTGGAGAGAGAGAGAGAGAGAGAGAAACATCGATTGGTTGCCTCCCACACAGCTCCTACCTGGGCCCGGGATTAAACCTGCAACCCGGGTACATGCCCTTGACTGGGAGTCAAACACAAGACCCTTTGGTCCTTGGGCCAACACTCTAACCACTGAGCCAAACCGGCCAGGGCTACACATCTGTTCTTTTTCATAAAAGTACGGTTGACATACATCATGTGTACAGGTGTACAGCGTAGTGATTAGGTGTTTACATACCTTACGATGTGATCACCACACCAAGTCCAGGCACCATGCAGTTACTGCGATATGGCTGAGTGTTGTTCCTGCCCTGTATGTTACATCCCGTGACTGACTTGTTCTGTAACTGCAAGTTTGTCCTCTTACTCCCCTTCACCTTCTCCACACACCCTCCCACCCTTTCCTCTAACAACCATCAGTCTGTTCTCTGGATCTGAGTCTGTTTTGTTCTTTAGATTCCACATGTAAGTGAAATCATACGGCATTTGTCTTTCTCTGACTTACTTCACTTAGGATAGTACCCGTTATGTCCATCCACGTCGTCACAAATGGCAAGTTTTCATTTTTCATGACTTAGTAATATTCCATTATGTGAAGGTACCACATCTTATCCATTCATCACCACTGGACACCTAGGTTGTTACCTTATCTTAGGTATTGCAAATAACACCGCAGTGAACATGGGGTGCGTTGCATCCTTTCAAATTAGTGTTTTCCTTCTTTTTTTTTCAGATAAATACCCAGGAGTAGAATTGCTGGATCATATGTAGTTTTTCTTATTTATTTATTTATTTATTTATTTATTTATTTATTTATTTATTTATTTTGAGGGCCCTCCACACTGTTTTCCACGGTGGCTGAACCAGTCTGCATTCCCACCAGCAGCACACAGGGCTCCCTTTTCTCCACATCTTCATCAGCACTTGCTGTCTGTTGACTTTTTGAAAATAGCCGTTCTGACAGGTGGGAGGTGGTATCTCATTGTGGGTCTAATGTGCATTTCCCTGATGGTTAGAGATTGTTGGGCACCTTTTCATATGTCTCTTGGCCATCTATATATCTTCTTTGAAAAAATGTCTGTTCAGGTCCTCTGTCCATTTTTATTTTTCCTTTATTGACTCCAGAGAAGAGAGGAAGGGAGAGGGAGAGAGAGATAGAAACATCGATGAGAGAGAACATTGATTGGCTGCCTCCTGCATGTACCCCACTGGGGATGAGCCCACAACCTGGGCATGTGTCCTGACCGGGAATCGAACTGGTGACCTTTTGGTGCGGGGTCGACGCTCAACCACTGAGCCACACCAGCCAGGCCTCTGCCCATATTTTAGTAGGATATTTGGTGTTTGGGTTTTCTTTCTTTTTATTTATTTATATGGGGTGTGGGTGGGGGGGGTTGAGTTGTATGAGTTCTTTATATATTTTGGATCTTATTAACCCCTTAGCAGATATGTCATTTGTGAATATCTTCTCATTTCATAGTTGTCTTTTTGTTTGGTTGATCATTTCCTTTACTGTCTTCCCTGTACACAGACTTTTTTTTTTTTTTTTTTATGTAGTCCCATTTATTTATTTTCCTTTTGTTGCTCTTTTCGGAGGAGACAAATTAAAAAAAAAGACATTGCTAAGATTGATGTCAAAGAGTTTATGCCTGTTTTCTTCTGGAAATTTTATGGTTTCAGGTCTTACATTTCAATATTTGATCCATTTTGAGTTTACATTTGTGTATGGTAGAAGAAAGTGGTCTGGTTTTCCTAACACCATTTATTGCTGAGACTGTCTTCTGCCTGTTGTATATTCCTGTCTTCTTTCTTGTAGGTTAATTGACCATCTAAATGTGGGTTAATTTTTGGTCTTCCTGGTCTGTTCCATTGACTTATGTATCTGTTTTTATGCCAGTAACACACCATTTTGATTATTATAGCTTTGTAGTATAATTTGAAATCAGGGGCCATCTTTCTCCAAAAACCTTTGTTCGTCTTTCTCAAAATTACTGTGGCTATTTGGGGTCTTTTGTGGTTCCATATAAATTTTTAAATTACTTGTTCTAGTTCTGAGAAGAATGCCATTGGTATTTGGACAGGGATTGCATCGAGCCTGTGTATTGCTGTGGGGAGTCTGAACCTTTTGATGATATGACCCCTCCCATCCAGGAGCATGGTGTCCTCTCCCATCTCTGTGTCCTCTCCATTTCTCCATGTTTTTCAGTTCTCACAGTGCAGCCTTTTACCTCCTTGGTTACATGTATTCCTAGGTCTTTTATTCTTTTTGATGCAGTTGTAAATGGGATTGTTTTCATCACGTTTCAAGGTATTTTTGTCTTTCCTCCTGGATTTTTTGTTACCTGTTGAGTGTTTAGTAGCAGGTAGTTGAGTCTCCACCTGTTCGTGTTTTTTTCCAGTTTTCTTCTCACTGTTGATGTCTAGTTTCATACTGTTGTGGTCAGAGACGATGCTTGATATGATTCCAGTCTTCAATTTATTGAGACTTGTTGTGTAGCCTAACGTCGGGTCTGTCCTGGAAAATCTCCCGTGTGCACTGGAAAAGAGTGAATATTCTGCTGCTTTGGGATAAGGTGCTTTAAATGTATCAGTGGAGTCCATGTGGTCTCATGTATCATTTAAGGCCACTGTTTCCCTGTATCCACTGATGTGAGTGGGTTATTAAAGTCCCCTAACATTCTTGTATCATGTCGCTCCCTTTATGTCCATTAATAATTGCTTCGTACATTGTGGTGCTCCTGTGTTGAGCACGTAGATGTTTACGACTGGTATGTCCCCTTCTTGGATTGGCCCCGTTCCCACTACCTAGTGTCCTTCTTCGTCTCTTGTTACTTTCTCGGTTTTAAAGTCTGTTTTGTCTGATGTAAGTATTGTTATTCCAGCTTTTTCATTCCCACTTGCGTGAAGTATCTTTTTCCAGCCCTGCACTTTGTCTGCATGTCCGTTTGTCTGAAGTGAGCCTCTTGCAGGCGGGTAGATGGGTCTTGTTCTCTTACCATTCAGCCATCCTATGCCTCTTTCATTGCACATTTAGTCCATTTACGTGTAAAGTGATTATTGACAGGCATGTATTCACTGCCATTTTATTGTTGCTGGTTGTTTTGTAGTTTTCTGATCTTTCCCCTTGCTCTCTCGTGTATCGATGGTTTTCTTCAGTGTTGTGTATAGATGTTTTTTTCTTTTCTGTGCGTGTTACAGGTTTTTGGTTTGTGATTGCCACGCGCTTCATGTATATCAGCCTGTATCTATCGCAGTCTATGTAAGTGTGGTGGTCACGCACGTCTGAGCGCACTCTGAAAGTCCCGCGTTCTGCCCTGGCCAGTCTGGCTCAGCGGTCAGAGCGTGGCCTGCAGACCCAAAGGCCGCGGGTTCGATTCTGCTCAAGGGCACGTACCTCGGTTGTGGTTTGTCCCTGGCGTCATGCAGGAGACAACCAATCAATGTGACTCTCTCACATCAGTGTTTCTCTCTCTCTCTCTCCCCTCCCACTCTATCTGAAAGTCAATGGACAAGTGTCCTCAGGTGAGGATTAAAAAAAGTAAAATAAAATAAAAATGAAGGCACTATATTTTTGCTCACTCCCCCCATGTATTATGTGGTTGGCATCTCATTTTACATCTTTATCTGTATGTACGCGTATCTTAATCATTGTAGATGCCCAGAATTTTACTACTTTTGTCTTTTAACCTTCATACTAGCCTTACAATTGGTTGATCTACTACTTTTACTGAATGTTCGCCTTTACCAGAGAGCTTTCTTCTTTCCTGTATTCTCTTATTTTTGGTTTGGCCTTTTGTTTTCAGCTTGAAGAAGCCCTTTTAGTGTTCCGTTTAGTGCCAGTTCAGTGGTGATGAACAGCTTTACGCTTGTGCTTATTTGAGAAGCTCTTTATCTCTCCTTCAGTTCTGAAGAACCTTGCCAGGTTGAGTCTTGCCTGGTTTTCCTTTTCATTACTTTATTTTATTTATTTATAATGTCCTCACCTGAGGACACTTTTGCATTTATCTTCAGAGGCAGAGAAGGGGGAAGAGAGAGAGAGAAATATCAATGTGAGAGAGACACATCGAGTGGTTGCCACCCGCACGACCCCAACCGGAGCAGGGGACAATCTCCGGACTCTCTGGTCCTTGGTCCTTGGCCCTTGGTGGGAACCAAACCCCGGACTCTCTGGTCCGTGGGCTGACACTCTAACCACTGAGCAGAACTGGCCAGGGCCCTTTTTATTATTTTAAATAATATCATGTCATTCCCTCGGTCCTGCAAAGTTTATACTGAAAAGTTAGCTGATAGCCTTATGGGGGTTCCCATGTATAAAATTAGCTGCTTATAAGATTCTGTCTTTTTCAACTTTTGACATTTTAATTATGATATGTCTTAGTACGGGTCTCCTTAGGTTCATCTTGTTTGGGACTCTGCGCTTCCTGGATGTAGATGTTTGTTTTCTCCTATGATTATTATTATTTTTTTATCCTCACCCGAGGACATTTTTCCATTTTTTGTTCAGATAGAGTCGGAGGGAGGGAAGGAGGGAGAAAGAGAGGGAGGGGAAGAGAGAGAGAGAGAGAAACATTGACGTGAAAGGTACATATCGAGTGGCCGCCACCCGCACGACCCAACCAGGGCTGGGGACAAACTGCAACCGAGGGACATGCCCTTAGCGGAAACCGAACCCAGGTCTCTCCAGACCGCAGGCCAATGCTCTAACCACTGAGCCAAACCCGGGCAATGTTTGTTTTCTTTATCAGGTTAGGGAAGTTTTTAGTCATTAATTCCTCACATAGATTTTCTGTCCCTTTCTCTGTTCTCCTTCTGTGTCTGCTCTGCAAATGCTAGAATGTTTGATGTTGTCCCAGAGGTCCCTCAACTATCCTTATTAAGATTTTTTTCCCTTTTGCTGTTCCAATTGATTTCCATTACCTTTTCATCCAGATCACTGATGCACTCTTCCGTACCATCTAATCTGCTGTTGGTTCCCTCCAGTGTATTTTTTATTTCATTTCAGTTCTGATTGGTTCATCCATTCTTCTCCCAAGTTCATTGAGCATCTTTATAACCATTGCTTTGAATTCATTATCTGGTAGATTGCTTATCTCTGTTTCATTTAACTCTCTTTCTAGGGTCTTGCTGTTTAACCATTTGGAAGATACACCTCTGTCTCCTCATTTTGCCTGTCTCTCTGTGTTTGTCTCTGTGTATTAGGTAGATGTCTCCCCGTCTTATCAGAGTGGTCTTCTGTAGAAGGGGTCTGGTGGGGCCTGGTGGCACAGTCGTTTGTCACCAGAGCCAGGTGCTTCAGGGCGTCCCGTGTGGTTCGAGTGCACCCTCCTGCTACAGTCAGGCCATGACTGCTGTGGGCACGCCAGTGGGTGGGGTTTACCCTCCGGGTAACTGGCTGTGTTCCCGTAATGGAGGGAGCTCGTCCTCTGGGTGTACTCCCCTCAGGAGGACCACCACGGCCGTGATACCATGCCCACTTGTGAATCGGCACACGTGGGATGTGGGTCCTAACCAGACCCCGTCTCTGCCCTCCTGCCTGTTTTGGTGTGTCTTCTGTCTGTCCTCGAGTGTAGAAAGTCTGTTCAGCTAGTCTTCGGGCCATTCTAGCAGAGGTTGCTGTGTGTTCAGTTGTCGTTTTGGTGTGCCCATGGGGGCAGGCTCTCCACCTTGACCTCCGCCATCTCGAGGCGCCTCCCAGATCAGTTCTCTAGTACGCTCTCTGACGTTGGTTGTACTTGGGTCGATTGATATGTTTAGGTTGACAATATAAATACTTTTAATGAGACTCACTGAGTTTGTGGCTTGCCCCAGATCACAGCTCACAGTCCGATGTCAGGCCCAGCTCTGGGTCTTCCGCCTCCTGTTCTCATTACCTGCTGCTAAGTAACTTGTCGGCGTGTTCGCTTCAGCGACTAAGAAAGGTTTTGTGTGTCTTGGTCTTCAAGACAGAGGTGAATTGTACATTTCAGAAACAGTGCCGTCGGAATCTGTCAACTTTTAAAGCTCTCTGGAATCTCGTCCTTCCAGAAAACTGGTTCCTGAGGGTTTCATGGAAATGTCTCCTAATTAATAGGTTCCAAGATTATTTCATTGAATCTGTTTCTAAATGGCTGCACTGCAGATGCAGAGAGCATTTTGGATGGGAGTGAGCTCATAACGTGCAGCCTCGGGGAGCCAAGTGCGGTCAGTAATTCTGATCCTGGCTGAAGCTTACGATGATTCTTACCGTTTTCTGTTTGTCTTGTAGGGGGGTCTGTGGCTCATTTGCTCAGTAAGTATGGAGCCTTTAAGGAATCCGTGGTTGTTAACTACACTGAACAGTTACTCCGTGGCCTTTCGTATCTCCATGAAAACCAGATCATCCACAGAGATGTCAAAGGTGGGAATTCCTTCATTATTGTTTACTAGCAATAAGTAGAAAACAAACGCCATTTAAAACCTTGGACCTTTGTTGGTAGTTTCTAACGTGAAATCAATTAGAGGATTGTTTCCCCTGAGGAACCCAAATCACTAGAAGTGAAGGAACCTTCGGGGTCACGGGACCTGACCACGCGCCCCCAGAGGCGGTGGCTCTTCTGCAGCCTCCTTGTCCGTTGATGGCAAACCCAGTGTAGATTCCAGGTCTCCAGTTCAGCCCTGGTCTTACCACGTTCTGCCTCCCGACAGTTCCCGATCCTGGTTTTACTGAGAATAACTGCGATATTGTGAACTTTTCAGAAAAATCCTTTCCAGTCTTTTGCAGGTCAATTAATTAATAGCAACTTTGATATTCTGGCATGATTTTTATCTAGTATTTGACGTAACGTCTTCAAGTAATTTCTTATTAAGCTGTAATTATGAAACTGCAGTACTTTGAATTGGCCTAGGTCGGTACGTTTCAACAGAACTTGGTCTTAAAATATAAACTGCACTAAAATTTGAACTTCGAAGACAGACTTTTAGTGGGAAGCATCCTCTTGAAGGTTCGAAACTTTATTTGGCGTTTCACCGCCTCTCTGCCTTCACCCCCCAAGCGTCAGATGCGTCAGGTTCCCACTGAGGCTGTGGGTTCGGCCTTTCACCCCGTGGGGACCTGCGTGTCTGCAGCAGTGGCCGGGGGAACCGAGGGAGGGTGACATCTCGGGACCTCTGGCATGTGGTCCACGTCTTCCCTTTGTCGTCGCCCGTGTCGCTGACAGTATTTTACCGAGTGTGGAATCTACCCTTCTGTGTTTAGCGTACAAGGTCACTTGCTGTTTTTGTTGACAGGTGCCAACTTGCTGATTGACAGCACAGGCCAGAGACTGAGAATTGCAGACTTCGGGGCTGCAGCCAGGCTGGCGTCCAAAGGAACTGGTGCAGGAGAGTTTCAGGGACAGTTATTGGGGACAATCGCATTTATGGCGCCTGAGGTGAGAAGCGGCCTTTAGTGTGAAGGGAGGAACTATCTGGGAGTCATGTGTGGCAGCACTATACCCGATCCGTGTGCAGCACTATACCCGATCCGTGTGCAGCACTATACCCGATCCGTGTGCAGCACTATACCCGATCCGTGTGCAGCACTATACCGGATCCGTGTGCAGCACTATACCGGATCCGTGTGCAGCACTATACCGGATCCGTGTGCAGCACTATACCGGATCCGTGTGCAGCACTATACCGGATCCGTGTGCAGCACTATACCCGATCCGCCTGCAGCACTATACCCGATCCGTCTGCAGCACTATACCCGATCCGTGTGCAGCACTATACCCGATCCGTCTGCAGCACTATACCGGATCCGTGTGCAGCACTATACCGGATCCGTGTGCAGCACTATACCGGATCCGTGTGCAGCACTATACCGGATCCGTGTGCAGCACTATACCGGATCCGTCTGCAGCACTATACCCGATCCGTCTGCAGCACTATACCCGATCCGTCTGCAGCACTATACCCGATCCGTCTGCAGCACTATACCCGATCCGTCTGCAGCACTATACCCGATCCGCCTGCAGCACTATACCCGATCCGTGTGCAGCACTATACCCGATCCGTCTGCAGCACTATACCGGATCCGTGTGCAGCACTATACCCGATCCGTCTGCAGCACTATACCGGATCCGTCTGCAGCACTACACCCGATCCGTCTGCAGCACTATACCGGATCCGTGTGCAGCACTATACCCGATCCGTGTGCAGCACTATACCGGATCCGTGTGCAGCACTATACCCGATCCGTCTGCAGCACTATACCGGATCCGTGTGCAGCACTATACCCGATCCGTGTGCAGCACTATACCGGATCCGTCTGCAGCACTATACCCGATCCGTCTGCAGCACTATACCCGATCCGTCTGCAGCACTATACCCGATCCGTCTGCAGCACTACACCCGATCCGTCTGCAGCACTACACCCGATCCGTTTGCAATGTGTGTGCCTGCCGTGGCCCTAAAAACAAGGCTTTAATCGTATCCTTAATTTCAGACCCTTAGTCTCTCCCTCTCTGTCTTTGTCTTAACACAAGTTTAAGAGCTGGGTTATCGTAGTGTTGCTTAGAGGCTGTTTCTAACAGAGACTTGCCGGGTGACTTCGGAGAGTGTTGAAGTGAGCCCGAGCGCACACTGGAAGCTCTGTAGCTTGTTCTCTACTCCCGGGAGCGCCGAGCACACAGAAGCAGACCTCGCTGGCCGTGGAGGATGCTGAAGCGGCCGCTGCTGTCGTGCTCAGAGCTCCCACGTCCACTCACGGTGACTCTCGCCGGCCTCTCGCCCCGTAGTTTATTAAGCACGCGGGCAGCTTTAAAATTCTGTGACTCCAGAATCTCACAGTCTCCCAAATAGTTTTGTGCTACATGGGAGGTGAAGCGTGTTAATGCAGTGAGACATCTGCTGGTCCATCTGTTTGTACCTTTGTTCTGCTCTGAAGTGAAACACTAGAATCCGTCGCTCCGGAGAGACGTGCTCCGTGAGCCCTGCTACAGCAGAGGGGCCCGCTCTCTTGCAGGTCCTGCGGGGCCAGCAGTACGGGAGGAGCTGTGACGTGTGGAGTGTGGGCTGCGCCATCATCGAAATGGCCTGCGCCAAGCCACCTTGGAATGCGGAGAAGCACTCCAACCACCTCGCTCTGATATTCAAGGTAATAGCGCGAGAAAGCCTTTTTCTGCTGAAATGGGCAGGAAGCAGAGAGGCGCGGGTCCTCCTGAACTGTCAGCCTCAGGAAACATCTCTGCCCTGAGAAACGGTAGGTGGTGCACCTTCGGCCTCCCGGGCGGTGGTCCGTGTGGGCGGGGTGGACAGTCGGTCCTCACTCCTCCCGGCAGTTACCTTGTCAAGTCGCTGTGGACAGTGAATGGCCACACACTGAATTTGTGCTCCTGGTGGAAACCTACATTAATAGCCCTGTCACACTTTCCTGTTTTAAAACTTGAGCTCTTCACACACACATAATCCACCCTTTTAAACTCCAATGCACAGCCCTGGCCGGTTTGGCTCAGCGGTTGGAGCATCGGCCTGCGGTCCAGAGAGACCCGGGTTCGGTTCCCGCTAAGGGCATGTACCTCGGTTGCAGTGTGTCCCCGGCCCTGGTTGGTCGTGCGGGTGGCAGCCACTCAATGTGTCCCTTTCACGTCGATGTTTCTCTCTCTCCCTCCCACTCTATCTGAACAAAAAATGGAAAAATATCCTCGGGTGAGGATAAAAAAAAAAAATTTAAGCTCCAATGTACTATTTCCTATATTTTAAAAACTCACGCCCTCACCCTGGCCAGGTAGCTCAGGGGGCGAGAGCAGCGACCTGAGTCCCCAGGATTGCAGGCCCAGTCCCTGGTCACATGCAAAAAGCAGCCAGTAAATAAATACATGAGTAAGTGGAACAACAAATCAATGTTCCTCTCTCCACCCCCCTTCCTTTCTCTCCAAAATCAATTTGAAAAAAATTTTTTTAAACTCAGTTTCCAAATCCTGCCTGTTCTCCTTTCTGACAACGGAATCCACTGTGGGGATTTCCACCAGAGGGGAGTCCAGGGGTTCCCACTTCAGCCTGTGAGGCAGCCGCTGCTGGGGAGGGTTCCTCGCTGGCCCCACCCTGCCGTAGCCATGAGACTGGGGACGTGTCTGCTCCTGTCTGTCCTGTTTCTCGGTGGTGGTGGTGGTGGTCGTGGTGGGTGGCTATGAGATGGGTGTGAGGCCTCCCCTGCTCATGGGCCTGTGACGAGAACAGCAGGTGAGCGCAGGGTCTGTGGAAGGCGCTCACCTTACAGCGCTCGCTCGGCCCCAGGACACAGCACGGGGAGCCAGGCAGGGTTTAGTCTCTCCCTCTGGCTGCTCTGTGCTACGACCATGGGAACTGCAGGGTGGCCTTGGGGACTGCGGGGGGCGTTGGGGACTATGGGGGCGCAGTGAGGACTGCGGGGGGCCGTGGGGACTGCAGGGGGGCCATGGGGACTGCAGGGGTGGCGGTGGGGTCACAGCGCCTTGGGGAGTGACCGCGGGATGGAGCTCACTCCATGAGCCTTCACCTCTCCGACCTTGGGACGCACTTAGCCTGGTTCATCTGAGACAGAGGAACAGAGCTGGTCCTTCTTTTCGGGGTGTATTGACCAAATTCTACAACCCTAAAGTTGGAAGGATTCTTAGAGGAAACTTCCGTCCAGTGGTGGGTTTCCGCCTCGCGTCCTTGTTAGCAGAGCATCCGTCCACTGGCTCCTGCGTAGGTGCGTGCATCCATCCGGTGCGTGCGTGCATGCCTTTGTCCGTCTGTCCCTGCTCCCTGTGTGCCAGCACAGGGGGCGGGGGCGGGGTCTGCGTGCCGCACTCTGTCAGGGTCCCACGTGAAGCGCTTACCCAGGTGTTTGTCCCCAGATTGCAAGTGCGACGACCGCCCCGTCCATCCCCTCACACCTGTCCCCCGGGCTGCGGGACGTGGCCCTCCGCTGTTTGGAGCTTCAACCTCAGGACAGACCTCCGTCGAGGGAGCTACTGAAGCATCCGGTGTTCCGCACAACGTGGTAGCCACGTGGCAGGTGAACTGCGGAGAAGGATGCGCACTAAGGGGACCCCCGTGGGCGCCCCGTTGACAATCTGCTGGCCTGGAGCCCTCGTCTCAGTGTGACAGACAAATCATGGCCTGGACCTCAGCGCGGCCCACCGCGGCGGGAGCCGCATGTGCCTTTCGGCTGGGGCGCAGCAGCGGGACGCTGGCCGGGGCGGGGGGAGCGCGGCCGGCTGTCCTGTCCCTCCTGGCCGGCCGGCCCTCTGCAGCACTTTTCCCAGCAGCTGCAGCCGGGCTCGGTCTGTTCCCCGCGTCCGCTCTTCTTCCCTTGGCTGGGAGCAGGGCCTGGGCCGGCCGTGCTGCGCCCTCGAGGCCAGCGTGTGTCCTGAGTAGCAGGAAGTCAGTGTGCTCTGCAAAGCTCATACCTTCTTTATGACCCACAGTTGACCTTTAAAAAGGTAAAAAAAAAAAAAAAAAAATACAAGCCTGGGCAGTTGTGGGTCATTGTGCATTTTACTGTCGGCCTCTCGTTTCATTTTTGGAGACCATGGTTCTGTTTTCACCTCCATTTTTGTTTAATATCCAGGGAAAGGTGATCTTTCCAAACCGGAAGAAAATAGAACGAGGTGTGGACTAGACTTTACTGACCGTCTTGCGGTGGCAAGAGGTTTTTTTAATACAGAATTTTCTTTGTTTTTAAAGTTGGATGTTACTACTACCTTCCTGGAGTGGGTCGCTGCTGTTCTCCTGCAGTGTCAGTTCCGTGGGAAGCAGCCCTTGTCTGTAGGCAGCGAGGCTGAGCACCTTGAAACCGGTTTGAGTCCCTGGGCCGTGGAGGTGTCACTGGTGGGCAGCTTCCCGCCTGGGTCCCGCTGGGTGTGGAACACCCCCCCGTGCCCCCAGCCCGGGTGCCGCTCCCCCCTCACGCAGGCCCTGGCAGGGGAGGGGAAATCAGCCTGGTACTCAGCTGCCAGGGAAGAATGATGTTTTAAACTGTAAGTTTGCGCTGAACGTGGCAAAGGTGTCCCTAGAAAAGCGAGACTGAATCTCACTTACATACAGTTCACTGGGTTTGCACAGCTGGCTCATGGTGTCGTCCCAGTTGAATTCGGACGCGCGGAGTCCTGAAGGAAGATGGCAGCTCACCCTTGTTTTGTGGGTCTTCCCATCGAGGGCTAAGTACTTGGGGCAACTTTCCGAGGTGTCACGATTTAACTCTTCACAGCCTGTGGAGTCCTTGCGGGAGGCGGTGGGATTGGTGGTTCTCAAAGGCTCAGGATAAACCGAATAAGCTGTCTAGAGGACGTTTTAAATGCACACCACAGATTGGAAGTAAAACAAGTTTACAGGGATACATTGCATATAATTTTTAAAAGGCAGTTTTTTTAATGTGAATGTGTTTCTTAGTGAAAATTTTACATTCCTTTGTTTTGGAAGATTGGCAATATTTGAAGAGTTAAAAAATAGTACCGAAATGTGAAGTTTGGTAGCTCTAAACGTGTTGTACTTGACTTTTTTATTTTCTCTCTCTTTTTTTTGACTACTTTCGAATTCTCACAGTTCCGAGTCCCGTGTGCAAGCTTTAAAGGGTGCACTCTTGCCATTTTGTGTACTGGAGGCCACTGGCCGGGTCAGCCCCGTGTCTGACAGCAGCCTGAGCTGCGTGAACCGAGGAACCTCAGCGAGTCAGTATTACTCTGCAGATCGCATTGCCCACCACGCGTCAGACTCAGACCGCGCGTCGAAACCTCTGAGTGTGTGTGCAGTCCCCTCAGCTTGCTGGTCCTTGTGGTGTTTCATTGTTTTGTTTTGTTTTGTTTTTCAATGCAAATGTGATGTAATATTCTTCTATTCTCTGGATCAAAGCTGGACTGAAAATTGTATTGTGTAATTATTTTTTGCATTCTTAATGTTATTTGGTACTCGAGTTGTACATAATGCCTACTGCTGTGTATTCCAGTCTCTACTACCTCAGGTGCCCTATAGATTTTTCTTCTACCAAAGTTCACTTTCACAATGAAATTGTATTTGCTGTGTGACTATGATTCCTAGGACTTCCAGGGCTTAAGGGCTAACTTCTATTAGCACCTTACTGTGTAAGCATATGTTACAAAAAAAAAAAAAAAAAAAATCTCTGGGTTAAAATTTGGCTTAAATGTATCCTTTGTTATTTTAAATATATCAAGATATTTTAATTAAAATTTTTACCCCATTGAACCAATTTTATAGTATTTGTACCTATTTTGGTGTTCTCTCTTTATAGTAAATAAAAGTTTTTGAACAAAGGTGGTCACTTTTACTTATTTTGAAGTAATGTCATACTTAAAAAAGGTGGCGAGACCACCACAAAGAACCCTCAGCTACCGTTTACCCAGGTTTTGCCAGCTGCCCAGGTGCGCCCGCCCAGGTGCGCCCGCCCAGGTGCACCCGCCCAGGTGTGCCCTTGAGAGCAGAAGGGTCCGCACCACGATCGCGGCTGCTGTTCGCCGGCCTGTGTCGTCTCCCCCTCGCCGAGGGCCTCCCGAGCTCTCCGGAGCCTCCGAGTCCCGTATTCCACACGCGTGTCCGCCGCTCCCAGACAGCAGGGGTCAGATGCAGCCGGTTCTAGTCAGGGAACTTTCTTGATACAATATGGCATTTTTTAAAAAGCGCCAAGTTTGTCCTGTTAGATCTGAGGGCGGAGACGAAGCCTGTCACCCTGCTGGGCGCAGGCTGGAGCACAGGGTCGCTCTCCACCTGGGCACCAGGAGCGCAGCGTGAGCCAAGCTGTGGGTGCTCACGGCGGCCGCGGTCTGTCTTCCACCCCGCTGGTGGGTGCCGTGGCCCCGGCGTCCGTCCCGTCTGCCCGGCTGGTCCAGGCGCGCGAGGTGAGGCACCTCAGTGACAGCGCACAAGCCCGTGTGTCTACGTTCGTGTTCGGGTTGCTGTGGAAGGTTCGCTGCTGCCATTTTAGGGAAACATTAACTCTGAGAAAAGCTTTTTGCTTCAGAGAATTAATAAACTAATTCTATTGTTCATTCCATTGAAATGACATTAATAATAGTATAAAAGGAACAAACCTGCAGGTTACACAGAATCTAGAAAAACGCTGGGGTATCATGCTCCCACTAAAGGCCAGCGAATGCCTCTGGGGGCCAGCAGAGCAAGTCACCTGTTCACAAAACAAGCGGCGCAGCACACACTGCCGGCGCTGGGAACGGAGTGACCCACAGAGACTTGGGGAAACTGCCGTCTCTCTGCCGTGACAAGTTGTAGGGTGGTCACGTGTTAAGTGACGGGGAGGTGAGGCTGGACCTGCTGACACAGCCCGAGTCATTGCCTGGGTCCTCCGGCTCTGCCCCTTGCCAGCCCCCGTGCCCCTGCACCTCCGTTCCTGCTCTGCCCCTTGCCAGCCCCTGTGCCCTTGCACCTTGTTCCTGCGGCCGCCAGGCAGAGCAGCAGGGGTGAGGAGTGAAGAAGGGTCAGCGCCTACAGCAGTGCTGGGCAGCGTGTCCTGGGGTCCAGGTGCCCCCGGAGCTCCCGGGCGCCAGCTGGTGGCGCCAGTGTCCTTGGCAGGGCTGATGGCCAACCTGAGTGGTCATGCCAACGCGTCCAAGGGGCCGTGGGGGCCGTGGATGCCATGTTGGACTAAAGGGGGGGAAAACTCTTCACATTTCCAAAAGGAACTGGAAATCTAGATTTCATGTGCTATTATTTCCTGATGTCTAAACATTGGGAACTAGTGAAAACTTTTAGCACAGGACCTGGGTTGTAGGTTCAATCCCCGGTCCCAGTCAGGGTTATGTAGCAGGCCCCCAATCAATGTGTCCACCCCCCTCTTCCCCTCTAAATAAAAATCAATGGGAACGTATCCTCTGGTGAGGACTGACGAAAAGAACTGTTTGAGCCCTGGCCGGTCTGGCTCAGCGGTTAGAGCGTCGGCCTGCGGTCCTGAGAGACCCGGGTTTGGTTCCCGCTAAGGGCACGTACCTCGGTTGCAGTTTGTCCCCAGCCCTGGTTGGTCGTGCAGGAGGCAGCCACTCGATGTGTCCCTTTCACGTCGATGTTTCTCTTCTCTCTCTCCCTCCCACTCTAGCTGAACAAAAATGGGAAAATGTCCTCGGCTGACCATAAAAAAAAAGAACGTTTACTTGGGAACTGGAGCGCTAAACAAAACGCTGGGTGTGGCAGCCTCTGCCCTCTGGTCTGGGTCCGGGCTTATGAAACAAGGAAGAAGGTGGAAAATTGGAGGGGGGCGGGGTCTCGGCTTTGGGACCCTGGACCCTGGCTGGACCTGTTTCTCCTGCGCTAGATGAGGTGGAGGAAGGGGGAGATGCTGACCTCTGCAGAGAAACGTCGGGCCACCTGCGCCGATGGGACATCTCTCCAGTGAGCCTGGGCCTCGTGCAGCAAGCTGGGCGCCTGTACGCTGACGGTCCCGCGGCACAGCTGCCCGAGCTCATTGCACAGTGGACCCCATGACCAGAGCTCCCCCCATGGCCAGCGACCCTGCTGTCACCGTGGCTGTGCCATGGCCCTCAGTCCGTGGCTCCACCAGGCCCGTGGAGATGAGCCCGTGGAGATGAGCCCGCGGAGCCGGCGGTGAGCACGCCCCTGACCTGAAGGTGCTCCCACCCCACGCCGATCCCTGTGCGCGCGCGAGTCGGAGTCACGCCGTGCCCCTCAGTCTGTGCTCACTGAGATTCCCACACCCTGCCACCAGGACGAGGGCGGCACCGGGTGAACCGGGCGCGGGAGCATGGGGTGGTGGTGCCCTCGTCCTCGCATCACCTGGAGGCAGCAGACACCAGCTCCAGACGACACTGGACCAGCCGCCGGGACGCCCGCTGGGCAGCGACCCTGGTACTGAGCGTGGGAGTCGAAGAAAGAGCAGGTCTGGTGCCCACAGGAGGGTGAGCTGGGCTGAGGCCCCTCCCCCCACATCGGGCTCCCCAACCCACAGCACCAGGCTTGCTAAGAGGGGTCCTCAAAGCTGCTGCTGCTGCCAGAGACGGGGGGGGGGGCAAGGCAGCTCTCAGGGGCCAGGGGCACCTGGGGAAGAGCTGCACCGACTGCAAAGCGGGCTGAGCGGCAGGGGGCAGTGCTCCCGGGTGTGTGGAGGTGCAGGCAGCACTGCCCCCCGGGGAGCTCCCCTGCCCAGCGGGCGGGCGCAGGCAGGGCAGGCGGCTCCAGGTTCGTGCTCCCCACTGACCTGACGCCAGCCGCCCGGGCGTCCCCGAGACCACCCTTCCCACTTACTCTCCGGGCGGGAACCTCTTCCTGTGGCTTTTCCACACCAGCAGCCGGGCTCCACGCATGCTGTGGGCTCCCCCGAATCTCTCAGAGGCCCACACAAGCAGCCGCCGGCCTCGGCAGGCCTTGCAGGTCTGCGGGACCCGCACCCGCAGAGACGGGACTGCCGGGCTCTCGGGCACTGTGACGCCCACGCAGCGCCCGAGCCGCACGTGCTGCCCCCACGGCCCACGCCACCTGCAGCCGC